CATAGAATGATTCTATTTTTTGACAAATGATTGATATGTGAGCTGATTATAAATGACTGTGCTGAATAAATGAGACTCCAGATATTTGCTGTTGTGTACATCAAAGCCAACCATTTATTATGATTAACTTGATCTACGTATGCAAATGGTAAATGGAGATCTGGCACCCATATTCTCTGTGGGACTAGTACAATCTGTTTGAAGCTCTGTCCTTAAAGTTAATGTGTTGTTTTTTATAAAAGTATACTAGTACATATTTGTGTGACAAAGGTTAAAATGGTGTTTACTCATGATGTGAGGTCCTATTCGACAGATAAGTTTAAAGAATGCAGGTTCATGCCTTTCTTGGTTCTTTATTTAGTATTAGTCTGTATCACGTGTAGATCATTATTCTACAATAATTACAAACAGCCATATTGATCTAAAATGGTTAAATGTGGAAACAGGTCCATTAACTTCCTATTCAAACTGACTTTTTTTTTTTTTTTTTTTTGTAGTACAATAAATACATTAAGAAAAGTGAACCGAGATAAAGGATAGATGAAAACAGACATTTTCAGAACACTTAAGTCTCATATGCAATGCAGGATTACACAAACATGCATGAAAAAAAAAAAAAAAAAAACCTTAATGATGAAGAACACTATATAATGAGGTAAAAGCAAAATATGTTCCCTTTAAAGAAATGGTGAAAGAAGCCAATACTACTTATGGGAAGTCCAGAGAATTTGCAGATGTTTTGTTGTAATGAACATCATAAAAATAGGTGGGCCTGCGGCTTTATAGTAGTAGATATTAGTAGTCATACTTTGAATAGAATATGCATTGCTGTAATCATCTGGTGAGTTACATAGGATACATGATAGATGCTTGTGGCTGGTGCACTACGCTCTCTCTCACTGCAGTTGCAATTATGAGTTTGCTGGTGGCTGTGTAGCGGCTCATTCCTCAGTGTGGCAGCTTTATGTGCCTGGAGAGCTGCTGGAGCCACCTGCAGGGCCTGTCAGGGACTTGTCATATCAATCCCTCCATCCATCTCCACTCCGCTCTGCCCTGGATTTGAAGAATCGGTAAACACTTGACGAACCTTTCTGTAGTTTGGATTGTTCCTTTTTCGGTTACTCCATCAGCTCTCTGTGACTGCTCCAAAAATGAGATATTGGCTTTTCGCTGGTAATAAAAAGTGCTATAGATTAGTGATTTGTTTTTACTGGCTGTCATTTTGGAGGAAAAGATAAATCATTCATGTTGGGACTCTTATAGCTGAGGTTTTGGTGATGAATGCCCAAGGCTGAGAGACTGTGACAACTTTATTTGTGGCAATTGTCCAGTGATTTTCTCATGCCTGATGTCTATTATTAAATTATAATTATTTATATTCTACAAACTAAATATGGATGCCTCTCAGAATTTTATGTTTTCATATTAAATCTGTCCCATTTGTGAGCGTTCCCACAGATTATGGTTAAAAAGAACCGCATGCAATTTCAGGCAAGGTTTTGGATGCAACTAACATTTTCCTACTTGATGATCTTAAATGAATAAATAACATAATAAACCAATTCCATCTTCTGCAGCACACAAATGGTGAATAAAAAAGGACGTGCACAGTGTTTTTTTCCCCAGAGATAATTTCTTACATTCAACCCAAACCCCAAAGAACTTAAGAAACAAACTGATGGTATCAACTGGTGTAGTACACTTACAGTTGTATTACAGTTAATCGCTTCAGTGATAAATGACCATGACTGTAAGATTCTGACTTCAGCTTTATTTGTTGCAATTGTGCTTTGGTTTGTTTAAAGGTTCAGTCCTGATGGTGTCCCCAGAGGCACTCCTCTTTAATGAGATCTTCTGATGAGAAAGTCTCATGGCTTAAGGGCTGATGGATGCCATGGTTCAGGGGCGTGACTCCATGACTCAAGTGTTAGAATGATTGTTTGAGTGACAATCCACAGTTGGCCCACCATGTTTCAGTGCCACATGATATTTGTTTGTGTAATACATTCACTGCAGAGACTGGTGTGTGACTGTTCACGCGTTCAAGCCCTCCTACTTATTTCCGAGCTTCTACAAATATGAAAGTTGGAGTAAGCTGTTGTCTGTCTGTTTATAAAAACATATTTCCTCTTAAGTCTGTCTCTCAGGGGGTGGCTTCCAGGCAGCGTGAGGCAGAGGAGGGAGAGAGGGGGCTTTAATCTCCAAGCTCTGAGTCCCGAAATCCATGTGTTTGAGAGGCAAGGTCACTGGGTGCTCTGCTAGAGAATGAACGCCACTGTCAGAAGGAAGCATGTTGAATACAGTGGAAATGAGAGAAATAGAACTTGGACATGTTCTTGTCTGAGGCCTTTGGGAAACATTACCCAGAGGAGGTATCATGTCAAAGCTGGACAGAGGCAGGCAGCATTGGAGAATATAGAAAAGAAGTATGATTTAAAATACCACTATGCATGTAAAGTATGCTTTGATACTGGGAAACTTTAGGCATTCATTGATTTGGCCTGGGAAAATGTATGGAATAAAATGTATATAGAATTGCACCGACAAGACAGTTTGATTCAGGGCTGGATTCTTATCTATAAAGTTTTTTTAAAACCGAGAACTAGAGGTGGAAATTAGCAATAGTGCTACAACCTTGTATAAAGCATCTCTCCTGTCAAGGTTAATGCATAATGCGCACTGTCCCTGTCTATAAATAAAATCAACTGAGTCCAGGTTAGGTCTTGTGTTTATTTTGTTTTTTCTTCCAATATGACTGAAACACATTACAGACATTTAGAAAGCTCCAGAAGCGATTTTCCAATTTGTATTATATAATTTCAGTTTAAATATAATTTTACCATTTGATAATCCATCAACTTTGTCTCCTTAAATAATACTGCAAGACTAAACTCAAGTCTGAAGTGAGAGAGGAGAGGGCCATCTAACGGAAATCCGATAACAGATCTGGAGGAACAGTCCAGTCTGTCCGACTTGTTGCTATGGAGATTCAGAGTCCAGTCCAGGTTTATGGTGGCTATTTATGTCCTGTAAAGAATATTTTATATTTTTAACAAAAATTCACTCATTCCCAGGACAGTGATTTGGCGTATGTGTCTCACTGGAGTGGTTTGAGCACTTGGCAATGATGGCAACAGTTAGAAGCAGACGGACAGATATGGACAAGCGCAGTAAGTCCAATAACTATATTAGTATGACTATAGTTATGGGAGACAGTAGTGGAGACAGTCTCTTGAATATAAAGTTTTATACAACACATCATAATGGCTGAATCATTATACCACAGTGCAATCAGATAAGGCTACATGCTGTCTTCCTGGCCGTTAATTAAAATGGCTGCTGTTTCTCCTCATTAAATTGTAATAGAGGGAGCTCTAACTGCTAAATCTATTTTTCAGTTAGCATTTAACAAGAGTGCTACTATTTAGACAGCAATTATAACCAGGTTTACCAAAACAATCTGACCATAATTTTATGCGCAGTCGAAAGTGACTTACTTTCTTGTAAGTATTTTATTTGACTTAAAGTGAGTAAGATGATGACACACATTTAAGACAGCACTGCTGTGAGAGATAGTTGGTATGTTCTGCTTTGCCATCAGTACTCTTACGCATTTACAGTCATTTTAGTGACAAACCCAAAAGAAATGGCACACTGTACAGTAAAAGGAAGTTTATGTTTATGTTTGACAAGCTGAAACAATGCAGGAATCTGAGTGAATGCTAGAGCTTGTAAAGATTTAAAATATGTGATGTAAAACAGGTGCATGACTCAGATGCTCTACACTAATTTTTCATACTTAAGACTTTAGACTCCAAGGGGAATTCAGCCACAGTGTGCAATACAATCTTTGTGTGATACAACCCTTAGCTCAGAATAAATATTATTCATTATGGTCTGCATGATGGAAAATATATTTACAGAGTATATGTATGTTTTATTGAACAGAAAACACAGTGGAAATTACAGCTCAGATAGATCATATAAAGTTGAATCATAATAAAACCAAAACCTTGGCTCTAGAAAATCCATCCCTCCATTTTCTTCTGCTTATCCAGGGTCGCGTTGCAGGGACAGTCGTCTAAGCAGACTTCCCTCACCTCAAACACTTCATCTACCTGCTCCAGTGGGACCTCAAGGCGTTTCTAGTCCAGCCAAGAGCCCTACTCCCTCTAGCGTGTCCTGGGTCTTACCCAGGCCTCCTCCCGGTGGGACATCCCCGGAACATTTCCCCAGGGAGATGTCCAGCAGGAATAGATGCCTGAGCCACCTCAGCTGGCTTCTTTGAACGTGGAGGAGCAGCAGCTCTACTCCGAGCTCCTCCTGTGTGACTGACCTCCTCACCCTATCTAGCCTGTAGAAAATCATTTTATATATTCTTCTGGAATATCACCTCTAGCAGCCGAAAAAGTGGTCTATATCTATTAAATACAACTAAATACAAAGACTGCAAATAATAACAAAATTACAATCAACATTAATAGTGAGGCAATTTGCTTTCATCTATTCACTTTTCATGCCCCCCCAAAAAAACGTTCGGGGTACAAAAATGGGTTCATAGGGTTTGGTGATCAACACAATTGGGTGTAACGAGTCAGCACAGGAAGTATGTATATATATATATATATATGTATATATATGTATATATATATATATATATATATATATATATATATATATATATATATATATATATATATATGTATGTGTATGTGTATATGTATATGTGTATATATATATATATGTGTGTGTGTGTGTGCGCGCGTGTGTATATATATATGTGTGTGTGCATATATATATATATATATATATACACACACACACACATATATACATACATATACATATGTATATGTATATGTATGTATGTATATGTATGTATATGTATGTTTGTTTGTTTTTTAATAAATGTTCATGTCAAAAAATATATTGTAATGAATAAGCTTGAGCTGTTTTACTAAGGGAAACATGACAATATACAGTACAAGATTTAGCTTTATTCTGTGATTTAGTGACCATTAAAAATACAGTTGAGATTTGTCTTTGTGACAGAAAAGTGGGCTGCATACAAACTAATGAAATAGTGAGCTGCTCTAGAGATCTCTCAGACATAAAAACAATACATGAATTCACAAGTCTTAATCAAATAAACCTGGAACTATCCTTTGAATAAATAATTTATACCATTGTCTTATTTATCATAAGATAACTCACACAGTGTCTTTTAATGACAAGTTCAAATACATAGAGTGAAGGTGCTGGAGATTGTTTCTATAGAATAAACTCTACATCCAAGAGAATACCAACACTTGAAGCATATCAAAATAGTTTAACCTGGAAAACCCTGTAGTAGCATTATCTAAAAGTTAATGACAATTTATGCATCACTCTAGCACAGTATAAATGTTGCATAAGTCACTAAATTAAAATAATATTTGTGTAAGCATGTGGTTCATTTTAAACATCCAAAATAATACTGGAACTAAAAAATGTAAATCTAGATTAGTTGTGGATAATATGTTTTGCCCTTAGCCTGTATCCAAAACCATATAATTATCTTCACTGAATCCCAAATACTTATGGCAAAAAAGATGAGTCATTATAGAGATTGTGAAGATCTGTTTCTATTTAACAATGTTTTTGAGTATATTGTACGATTTTTTTTTTTTTTTTTTTCACTTCTGCTACACAAGGGCACGTGTTATTTAGAATGGCACTTTAATAAATAAATCAGTCAGGTAAATTTCCCCTTTGACTTGGCCATATTCGCACAAATTACTAAATAAACAAGATATTATGATTCAGACTGAAAACATAAGCATAAATCATCAAATGAAAGATGTGTTTTCCTATTTTAAACAGCTCTAAACTCAACAATAAACACATATAGGAATGGGTTAATTAGATTGCCTGATGTACAAAAAGGGTTGTGCAGTATGATGACAAGCAGAAGAAGACATAACAACATTTAAAGCAAAGTATACAATTGTTAAGAGCAGTGGCACTTTTTCCCCTCCTAAATCTATTCTTCCCATATATTTACCCCTCACGTCTGTCAAAGTCCCACAATACCTCATGCACTGTATCATTTTACCCAGAAGCCCCCTCTCCCCAACTGTCCCTGAAGATGGCTTTAATTCAGATTCACCTGTCATCTCACTCTTCTCAGCATGAGTATGTGTGACCTCTAGTCCTCAAGATAACTTTTCCTATCCTTTATAATTACTCTTTGCATATACATAAGTCTAAGTTTTTTGCCTTGACAAAACCTTCTCTTAAAGTTGACACCTTCTTCATCTGAGCTCTTACTGCTTATTAACTTCTGTCTCAGTCTCACCCTTCTCTTACTTTTGCTGCAGTACCGTTAATGTCTCATGGTGTTTTTGCCAAACTTGTCGCCCAGTTGCTGAATAAGCAAAGCCAGTTCTCCAGCGGCCTGGGATTTCTCTTCCAGAAGCTCGTAACGGAGACTGGAGATGTCCTGCTTGATCTCTTTCAACTCGCCTGCAACACAGAGAGAAAAAAAAAACAACAATATATCATCGTTAGAGGAGTCATCCAGCCACATGGGGTCACAAACCATGGACTCTGTCAGTTCCAAGCCTGGATAATTGGACCACACATCAAAAAGGATTAAAAGTGTACAAAAAACAATGTCAAATCACCATCTGAATTACTTCTGATTTGTCTAAAAATATCAAAGGCAGACAGTATCACTTTTTAAAGAACATAAGCCTGTTTCTATGAATATGTCATTGCTCTGCTTGGAATGTTCCCCAGTATGATTTTTTTCATTAACATTTATTCAATTACAGGTGGTTTTATAGCTTAAAAACACCTAGACTTCTGACTGTGAGCGGGGTTGCCTCTTCACAGATCTGACCTGTAAGATGGTTTGGTTGATCTCCATGAAGATAGAGATGTTTAATACGATATTGTGAAACATTCCACACAAGGCGATAACATCTCCATAGAAAAGAGCATTTGACAGACTCTCCAAGTTTCACAATGCACCTTTAATCTTGGTCTCTCTCATAATAAAAATAGGTGAATATTTCAAAATACAAGCACAATAGTCACAAAACTTACAAACACTACATTAATCATTATTACAAGTCATTAAATGAATTACAGTCTCCCAGTGAAACCAGATCATATTTCTACAGTGTTTGTAATGTTGGACAGTATTGTTTGCTTTCACCCAAACATCCTTGTATATAACATCATAAATATTCCTAAACATGTGTAAGACATGCATTCTGGGATGCACAGTTCACCAGGTCATCCCCTGGTGTACATAAATGTACCAGAACAGATGTTTTAGCAGTAACTCCCACATACTGTACAGCTCTAGCCCCAAGCTAATAATACTGTTGGAATTTTGTACCTTCATTAACTTCGTCGTTCTCTCTGTCCACTTGTGCCTTCAGGACGTAGCGCTTAATCAGCCTCTTCATGATCTTCTGCAAGAGAATAAAACAGCACAGGAAAGGATTAGGTACAAAGCACAATGTCCAATGACCTCACTCTTTAAGACTATATGACATTTCTTCAGACATTTCAAGCATGGTTCTGTGTGGAGCCAAGCAATGTATTCTGCAGAGTATTGATCAGTGGCCAACAGGGATGTCCTCAGAAGTGTGAGCCGTCAATCCCCGCTTGTGGCCACTCTCTGCTCAATAGCTGTCAGCGCACATACAAATGCCTAATCAACAGGCAGCTGAATGACACTGGGGTTATAGTGAGCTGCAGTGGTCTGTGTGAGTTTGTGTGGAGGATTTATGAACATGGGAGCACAAAGAGCTCGGAGGGGCTTAGATTTCCCCGAGGACAACAGTGAAAGGCAACTAAAGAGGACACAGCTCTTCTTTTCCACCTTAAAGACAACGTGCTCTGGCACACGTGCTTTTGTTTAGAAAAAAAAATAATAATAACACACACAAACAACAATAATAATAATGAAGGGACACTCCATTATTTATTGAGAGCTAAACTATGTGTGTGTGTGTGTATGTATATATATATATATATATATATATATATATATATATATATATATATATATATATATATATATATATATATATATATATATATATATATATATATATATATATATATATATATATGGTTTGTGTTGTTGTTCAAATTAGTATATTGGCTTGTGTTGTTGTTCAAAGTAAATTTTGTAAAAATAAAGCATTCTATATGCTATAGTACACAATTATCATTCTAACAATAGCATATAATTATATTTAAAAAAATATATATATATATGAACAAGCTCATCTTAAGTGTTTTACTGGAACAGAACAAAATAGGGCGTGGGGCAATCCTGCCATTATTACTTTTACTTTTACTATTACTTTTTTTACATTTTACATTAGTAAAACTAACCATACAAGAGGTGTAATATGTAGTCCATCCACCATTTATAAAGTCTAGAGTGCTCGTCCATCATTAAATTAATTCTGTTAAAAGTGTTATATTGTATCTAGGTCTTTTCCAGGCGTCTTCAGCCCCATTCTCTCTACCCCCGTCAGCCCCAATCAGACTTAAACCACCCCAACTCTCAGCTCCTATTAGTGCACGTGTTGGTTGGATTCTCTGAACTTCACTGTGAATATTCTCCCCTGTCTTTCATCTCATTTGCTCTGACCACTTAGCGCCTCACTTACCTGGTATCTTGTGGGGTGTTTTCGAGTTTTCCGGGGCATAAACTCCTCTCCCGGCCGAGGGTAGGTCCTGAAGCGCTCGTCCTGTCACAAACGCGAGATGCAGGTTAATTTCACATTTCATGGCCCATTGAACCTCCACAACTTAACTATTTGACTGCAAGACTGTAGTACCTGAGGGAGGCTGTTTGGGTTCAACATCTAGGTTTAAATACAACCCTATAAACTATGTTTTAAAATCATCAAAAATAAATAGTCAAATGTAATAAGAAGATCTTTTTTGGTCATCTAGTTTTTCTTGAATTTCAAACATTAACTTCCTAAGCACTTTGGGCTTTTACATTTTTTCGAACAAAGAAAGTGTTAAAGTATAAAGTTGAATTTTATGGTCTATTTTAATCTGAGAAAGAGGTCAAAGGATAAGAATCTCAATTAACTTCTGTCAGTGAATGATATCTTAGTATTTGCCAATGACCTGCAATAGCCTTGCTTTGCAGCCTGTATGTTGTTATGACACTCCCATGTCAAAATGAGTTTTGACTAAAGTGTGGCCATTTTCAAGTCGCTGCTATATTAAAAAATCATTCTTATTTAGATCCACCCAAAAATAATATACAATTTTTTGTTTCTTTTAAGCAAACATCACAGTGTGGTCAGATCTGGTTACTAAGAGCAGTTTTACAATACACTGTATGGGGGCAAAAACAATTGTACTTTACTACATGAGAAAAATTGGGTAGAGTTACTTAAAGCAAAGGCTTGATTGATAAATGTGCCTAACTATTGTGTTGTGCATGGACATATATCATACGGTTGTTCATTTAGGTGGTATAATGTACTGTATGGGCTAATGCCTTTAAAAAAGAAGAGAGGTGGCATAAAAGCACAATGTGGGCTGCCTCATCATCTGCACTACAAGTTGTCTGAATATTGTATAATATTAAAGCACCCTACACTCATTTGTTCAGACTGAATAGACTGGCTCCCACCAAATTGCATCTACAGATTGAATTTTATACAGCAACATTTTATAACTGCGGTACATCTTTTAATATAGAGCCTGATGTAACCTCTATGCTGGTTCTCATCCTTTTCATGATCCAAAATGTGAAAAGGGACTCATTTCATTTACTCATAAAAGCTGTGAGCACTTACGGCACAAGAGAAGAAAACCTATGCCATCTCACTTGACATTCCTGGAGCCGGACTGTGGATGACGACATTTGTATTGATTGTTTAGTAGTTTTTGCAGCTGCATTTAGTCTGTCAGGTCCGAGTAGAGAACTTTAAGAGCTCACAGAGGCAGCTGGGTGTAGCTCGCTTTGTCCTAGTCCAGAAAGATGGGGGAAGATTTGAAGAGATGCAGGAAGCTTAAATGGCCTGACTAATAGCTGAACAGAGGTGCTGAGGCCAGGCATTTGAACCAAGAGGAAACGCTCATAGACAGGGTCGGCACACACATCGATTCACTGGTAAATGGCCTAAGCAATTTTCTTCACGCAATGATTTTTTTTCATTATATTGACTTTGTTTTGATGGACAATTTTCAAGAAGAGGAATGTGATGGAATTAACAGACTGAATCCTAGTGTTCCAGAGGGATTGGTGGGCATGTTCAGGTATATAAAGTACAATAAACTTGAAGTAGTCTTAAAATGCAATGCTTAAAAGTTTGGGTCAAGTAGTTTACCATAGTTAGACCTGGTCAGATGAGACTTGTAATTCATTTCAGGGTACAGTTACAAGATTTATTTTAGTGTTTGTCTTTTTAAAGGTCAAATCCTCAAGATCTAATAAAAACTGTACCTAAAAGTAAAATAAAAGTAATATAATGTAGATGTACAAGGCAGCATTGCAGAGCCATCTTGTTGTCTCAGTCTCTCTCAACTAAATCAAACAAAACAAAATTAAAGTAAACAATAAAGTATTATTCACATTAACCCTGAAATGTTCAGATGTACAAAGTACTACTTCTACTATATCTGACATGTCTGATTTTCAGCTCAATCAACAATTATTTTCTATAGCAATATTATTTTGTTTCTAAAGTGTAACCAGACCAAAAAGTACAATTTGTTATAAATAAATAAATAAAAACACAAATTACCCTTAGTTATGCATGACAAAAGAGGGTTAGGGTTACGAAATAGGATTAGGGTATAAAGCCTGAATTATTTTTAATACACTATTTATTTATTGTGAATTCATTTTTTCTGCATGCTTTATTAAGATTAATTAGGTGTAAGTATTATAAAGTGTTACCAAAGTTTTACCAAAATACTATCTCTTCTCTGCTGAACACTGACCTTGTTCTGAGAGTTGAGCATGCCCATCTCCAGTTCGTTGCAGTGATGTCCGTTGGCCTTACACATGTGGACGAGGCAAGACCTGATGCGGAGCGCCATGTAGTAGAAGGACTTTGGACTTGGGACCAGATTGAATGGAGCAGGAAGTGTGCGTCCCTCATCGAAATACGAGAGCCACAGTTTTGCTCGAGCAAACTTCCACTCCACATCAGCATCCTCCTGGAGATAGCAGTCAGCACACACAGATTCAAATTAGAAATAAAAAAGCAAAAACTAGAAGAGAGTTTATCTTGTTTATTTCTTAAATAGTATTAAAGGTCCTATGTCATACAAAATACTCTTTTGAGCTTTACGTCATGTTATAATGTTGTTACCTCATCAAAAACATACCTGGAGTTGTGTTTTGTTTCATTCACACATGTTTGAGTAACCTTTTATTAGTAATGTGTTTTACATCTTCAAAGCTCAGAATGTTCTTTTCCACCTTGGGATGTCACTAAGTGGTAGTTTTCAAGTTAACAGCTACATTTTACTTTTTGTGCAGTAGATATTGGCAATTGCAGGGCTGAAATTATCCAAATAATTCGAGTGAAGGTGTGTGGAGATAAAAATAGTGTAGTGCACTTCCTGTATTGCCACATGACAAGATGGAGTGTTTTCAGCTGGAGAAAAGAACCTAAATATACAGGGTTTGTGTGTCAAACATGAAACAAAACACAGTTTCAGGTATGTTTGTGATGAGGAATCAACATTATAGCATAGATCAGAAAATCGTTTAACTGATTAAAGAGGTTGGTACTCTGTTCTACTCACTCATACGTCTAACTAACTGTAATTTCTTCAAATGCTTTACCAAGTTACTAAAGGCAGCAAATATTTCAATATCGTTCTTTACCTATATGTGCATAAGTAAAGAAAAGAATGTAGATTCTTGAACAATCTTTATTGCTTTTTATTGATCAGTGGCCTTTTCACTGACCCCTTCAGTCCCCAAGTGCCACCGAGGTGGCGACAGCAAATCCTTACTGACTTGTTGACAATAAATCCAGGGTACGTGATGAACAATGAATGAGTTGTGTGTACCTCTATCTCCTGGTATGAGCTGTTGATCATTGCTATCAACATGTTGAGGAGGACCACCACCATTGTAACATTGTAGACCCCATACAAGACATAGCCGATGTTCTCGATGAATTTATGATCGTATTTGAGGACAACAGAGATAACTTCCGACAGACCGAAAATTGACCAAAAAAGTGTCTTGAAGCTCTCCTCCACCCTGTAGAAAAAAGAAATCAGTTAAAGCGTAATAATATCTACGCACTTGCACTTAGTTAATTAGCCCTTTTATGCAAACAGAAAAAGCAGGATTGGTAAATGCATTTCAACAAAGCACAGTTTATGAGCTAGCACTGATGAAATACGCGATGAGTCATGTCCAATTTGAACGCATTATCCTGTTTCTCTCCATAGACACACTTAAACACACTTATTTCACATGCAGCGCTTGGCTCCAGAGAAGCTTTAAAGGAAGATGAGTCAACTCTGGTAACTGAGAGGTGGATAGCCCGGCATGCATTAAGAGCACCCTAGCTATGTGCTAGACGATCTGTAAAACTGACAATCACAAGTCACATTAAGGATTAAGCCAAAAAGTGGTGCTGATGGGAGTTGGATTGTGTTGACTGCTAAGAGGAATTATCTGTGTATACATTAATATTTCCCATTAACACATTTTTACTTGATTTATTTATCGTTAATAAAAAATGTTAACAGTTTGTAAAGTAAAGAAATTCTGCCCCATTGTTATTAACTATCATGTCCTGTTTGTTTCCATTTTATTTTGAAATCACTTACCCTGATTCTGTTGCAGACTTACTTCCACCCTCTTGTGTTCCCGCCTTTGATTACTGCCCCGCCCTAATGTGCTGCACCTGTGTTCCATTAGCTCCCCATTTTCCTTCCCCATTTGGCAGATTGTCTCTCTGTTATGCGGAAGCTACTGTGTTTTTTGTGCCTTTTTGGGATAAAACTTTCTTGTGACTCTGGGTCTATTTTTGGAGCCAGTTACTCGTACAAACCTGACAATTAACTGTTCATACTGAAGTAAGATGTCTCTGTGATCTGATGATGATATACTGATCAATTTTATTAATTCTCTGAAAACAAACAATACAGATTGTAATTTTACTTCAAAGTCTGAATTCTCCACCAAACCACAAAACACCGAATGACAATAAGAATTCTATTAGTTGCCCAGCCCTATTGCCACCCTATTGGCAAAAATGCTTAAAATGTACAGTAAGAAGTTTTAAGGTTTTAAATTATAACTTGTAAAAAGGAAAAACTATTTATATTCTGTTGAGACTGTCATTGTTTGTTCTTACATTATAGTGCATTTGAGCAGTGATATTTCCACACACCTTGTCTTAAGTGCTCACAACTGTCCATCACCGATCTAAAACCCACCCCTCTGCAGCTGTTCCCTTCACACATTCTCCACATTTCTAGAATTTAATATAGCAATGTTGGTGAGTTAAATTAAAAACTAAAAATAATTTCTATCCAATTTCTTTCCAAAGAGGGAAAAGCAAATTGTCAACTTCCGACCAGACTTGGGGTACAGGCATGCCAAAAAAAAAAAAAAAAACAATTTATGGAGTGGAGAGGTTTGGGAATTGCCGCCATGTTGGGGATCTGAAATGTGTACTGAGGCATAAGAAAGCCCGAGGGGAAGATCAGTATAGGCCTGAGAATTGAAGTGGCCACCATCCTCCAAATTAACTTCTCTGAGCGAGCCGTGGTTTCACTGGCAGCAGGGAGCTAGGTGCAGGTGCTGTGATAAAAGCCACCCTCACATGTGCAAAAGGCTGTGGCAGACACTATCCTCTCCTGCACTTAAAACACAGGCTCCTAGGAGCACTTCAGCTCTAACCTTGGAACAAAAGAGCAAAACACATAAACTTTAAGCTTCCAGACCAATCGATGTGTGTGTGTTGTGAGTAAGCCTTGTAAGAATAGACCTCTCTTTGGTAAACAGACTTCCATGAACAAACGTACACTATGAGACAAAAGGCAGTGCCAGGTGAAGAAAACAAGCCAACCCTATAATTACTTCAAGACACTCATTAATGTCCCCTTTAGCAGTATCTTGAGCTCAAATAATAGCTTTACTACACAGGTTCTTCCCTTTAATACAATGGCAAAATGATCACTGAACCACTTAATCTTTTCTTGCACAAGCTTATTAAAAGCCACATACACTTTCACAATGTTCAACTCACACATGAAACAATAGGTTGCGTTCACAATTCGATGTTGTAGTTTTAGTTGGATTTTTTTTTGAATTTCCAAAAGTAAGATGCACAAATGTTGAATCTTATTAATCCCTATTTATGGGAATAGCTCAACAAATTTGTCATAATAATCTTATAGCCTTAAGTCATTTTAACTAACAATCAATCACATCTTTGAGGTTGAATGATGTGACCACTTTCTCAAGCTACTTGTGAGAAAACAATTTCACCTTTTTATTTTTGCTGAAAGAGAAGACAAGTTAAAAACTTTATGACAGATTTTGTTTCATGTGGATAGGTCCAGTAATTACACATATATTAACCATAAACTGGGTCTACAAATCCACAATTAGACAGTTAAACAGTAAAGTCCATAGATTTCTGATCTATCCTCCAACTAAATGTTAAACTTCAAGCATTTTAGATGTTGTGATGTCACATGAATTAACCTATTGAACTAAGGCAGGATGTAGATGCAACACCATCCCATTACAAATGTATTGTACTGTACGTTAACATGTGCCATCAAGGCATTTAACCTTTACGTCTGTAGAAGTTAATCATGAAATATTTATTATGTGTCCTGATCTCGTCAGATCTCAGAAGCTAAGCAAGGCTGGACCTGGTTAGTGCTCAGATGGGAGTATGCTGGGAGTACCAGGTGACACAGAGGGGCGCCAGTGGTAAAACTGCTGTTATGGCCTTAGACAAGACATTGCCTAGTATGGAGGTGGTGTATGTGGTAGTGGAGTTCAAAGGGGACAATAGTGTAGATAAGATTTTACCTATTGTGCATTTTTTGGTTGATGGGGGAAGTTGAAATGCTTGGAGGAAGCCCACCCAGGCACAAGGATAAACATACAAATTAGTGTCAATGTGAGTCAAACACAGAACCTTCTTGCTGTCTTGAAATAATAACAAGAATGATTTCCTGAAGATCATTAACCTTTGACACACAGACAAGTCACATGGGACAACCAGTCAATAAAAAATAAACTACAATTAAACAGGAATAAGTCCAAACAAACTACATTCAGTAATCAATCCAAACAGAAATGAGGCATGCTCAACAATTAGCGGCCATCATTGTTAGAGTTAGGGTTAGGGTTATGCTTTGTTTTAACACAATCTGAACATAAAGAACTGACTAATCTGGAACTACAACAGGTGAGCTGATTTGTGCTGTTCCATAAGTCCCTGTCAAATAACATTACAGTCACAAGATAGCTAGCATTAGCCAACAGTGCACAGCTGTATTGATCACAAGCTCCTGCAAATGTGTTGTTTAAATACATTTTGCTTTACTTTTTTTTTTTTTTTTATTAAATCAACCATACATCTTAAAACTGTTTTGACTTTCTTTCTTTTTTTGTTTTGTTTTTTGCTAATGTATGTGTTATTATGTATGTATGTATGTATGTGTCACCACGGTAACCCCTACATGTAACTCTACTGGTGTAATGTTAAGAACACCCCCAGCATGATGTCATTGCAAAGTACCAATAACAGAGTCACTTGAAGGTCCTCTTTGGTGACACACTGGTTTAAGAGACTGATTTGCAAAACATTCAAAAGTCAATGTAGCCCAGGGTCGGACTGGGAACAAAATTCGGCCCTGGCATTTTTCCTCAGGACCGGCCCATCCCACTCAATTCGAAATTGAGGACCAAATGTGGTCTGAAGTGGACTGGCCCACCAGGCATTTGCCCGGTAGTACAGATTACCAGTCCAAGCCTGAAGTAGCCATTTGCCTTTCCATGGTGCAGTCCTGCCCAGCATCAGTCATGTCATCTCTCAGACAGCAAGTGAAGGTTGTTTTCAACAGCCTCATCTCCTCACTCACTATTCACGTCACACACTTCCGACAGGCTATCGCGCAATCAGGAGAGCAGCTGAGGAAGGTGATTTTGGTAGGTCTGCCTTGAAAGCCTGTTATTTTGGACCCCTCTCTCTTTAACAGGGCTCATCAGTCTTGCTTATCAGCTAAAATGTAAAGTTCTGCCCCATATTCAAAATGAGGGGAATGTGCCGCTTGAATGCCTAGGCCTCGGTTATGCTGTTCTGACTAATAGGGCTGTGTCATGATTAGTTTTTTGTTTTTTTCCTCATGACAATATTTTGATTAATTTTGAGACAAAACCAGAAGTTATAAGTCAGATCTGTGGAGAGACAATCCCTCGCAGTCAGAATGCCTGTTCTTCTCTGTATGTTTGAGTTATAAGACCACCTGTAAGATAGAGCTGTTTAATGTAATACCATGGATCATTTCAGGTAGCGCAATGACATATCCATACAAACATGCAGGTGACAGACCATCAACCAAAAAGTTACATAGTGCACCTTTAAAAAATAATAATGGCTTCAATGAAAACAAGTATATGAACCAATGCTTTCCACTTTCCACTTCAAAGCAATTTAACTCAAAAAGACCAAAGATTTTAAGTCAGAATTCTGCTGCAGTACAGCATGTTTTACTGAGACCAAAACTCTTGGTAGAATGGCCTCAAGACTATTATTGATCATTTGAAATTATTGGATCACAATTTGATTAACACAGCCCTATTGCCTCTATTTCTCCCTACAGCTTAATTGCATAATACCATCTACTTCATCTTTGCTACCTCAATATAGTAAATCCTCAAAGGTTTTATGTATACAAACAGTTTACAAAAAAATCACCTTACCAAATGAAGTGTGAATGAATATTCAGACATCTGTGTAGAGAACCACCATTATCTATCAATAATACAAATGAACAGGTAACAGTAAGACAGTGTTAGATGGGCCATTATATTAACTGTCATCAGTTTGTCACCATTTTTTCCTCTGGACCTCAACTACAGACAGTGAAAACTCCACAAGGACTGCACTTATGGGTATGCTTTGATACAATTGTCTGTTATCTAATTAGGAACAGGACAAAATACAATAAACATTAACAGTACACTTTAACTTTTTATGAAACTACTGAAATAATTTATAT